GTAAGCAGATAATCGTAAAATAATTGTTTTTAAAAAATTAGAATTCTAATTTTGTATCAAAATGTGACGACAGGAAATGTTTTGTAAAAATGCCTTAAAACTTTTTCTTCCTGTACATTTACATATTTATTGGAAGTTCATTTATAACGATTCTCTTTAATAACTATATAAAAGACCTTAATAGCCTTTTAATGGTAAATATTTGGCGCATATGTTAAAATTAAATTTATATAATCATCGTCGTCAACATAGTCTTCCTTAAAAACTTCAAGCTAAATTAAAAATTAAACGTAATTATTTTTGCGAAATTTAAATTAAACGATTCATTTATTTTTATTTTTTTATTTTTGTTTAAAGCTCGAATAATTTAATTGGAACGTATTCAATCATTTGGGGGGTTAAAGGGAACAAAACCGACATAAAAGTTTTATGGGGTGCACAAATTTCCACATATATGTCTAGTTTCAATATAAAATCTTTCTATCTTTCAATAAAAACAGTTTTCCATATATTGGAAAAAATCGATTTAATTTATGACCTACGTTTTTGTTACAACCTGTACTCGAAACCAATTTCTTCTTTTGTTTACCCATGGTAAACTTTGGGTAACATTTTTTCATGCTTTCGATTAAAATATAGTGAACTTTTTTTAGGAAGCCTTGTGATAACTTACCGTCGGCTTCGTCAGGGTGTCTTTAGAACTTCTTTTGCTTGGATGGTTGGAATGATGGATGGAAGCCTTAAATGGTTCTCAGGACGTATCTTTTTCCGAAAGACTAGATACGATTCTGAATTGTTGGGATATTGTTTAATTGGTGGAAGGCATTGTTTTTTCATGATTTTTACTTTTAGTTCCCGCAAGTATGTTGATCTAGCTTTGCACAAAACACAACGCAGGGAAGTGCCGTATACATAAAATGGTACATCTGTCAGGGTATCTTAACCAGGAAAACCCTTCATTAACATAGAATCTTTCCGATTATTTTCTCTTCTAAATACTCTGGGCGATATTTACAAGATAATTTTTACGAACTTAGCGTTCTTAGACGTAATTCACATCATACGCAATTTCCAATTTAGATTTAGAGCTGGTCACTGAACTGAAGCTGAACTTTGATTACGTTTCGGAGAACCGTAAATTCCTATCTCTCTGACCGGATAGTTTATACGAAAGTCACTCACAAATTTTTTATACCCTTCAGTTCCCAAGCAGGAGTCCCACAAGGCTTAATATTATCGCCTATTTTATATACAGAACACAAAAGCGACCTTTCCCAACCCGATAGTCGATCTAATAATATACTCTTGAATGATTAACATACTGTTCTATTCTCATAGCTGAGATGCAACTTGGTTCAATCGTGAGATATCGCTATAAATGGAGAGTCACGCGCTAAACTCTACAAAAACATATATACATACTATTTAGACCCTAAAATTCCCGCATCCATTTCGAGGATGCAAAGCGAACGCTCTGCTTCACGAAGCTCCACGGAGAAGGGCCTAACTTCAGATCGCCAGTGTCCTATTTTTAGATTAAAAAAACCATCTTTCTTTCTTTAATCTAAGGTCCTATTTGAGTATGTAATCTCCTATAAAGCGTTCCACGTTAAGAAAATAACATTGCGGAGATATTGCCACGTATTTCTTATGGACGATCGAAGCGCGGCGATGCCACAAGCACGATTCGGGGTTGTATTATTTATATTTTCGTTTCCACAGACATGAATTAAGTTAATATTTTAAAGTAATTGACCAAAAGTGCCCATTCGAAACAAGAGGTGAAAATAGGGAAAATAATTTTAATTAAATAAATAGTATTTACAAAAGATAATTTTATTTTATCTTTTTTTTTTTCGGTGAGAATACCATATGCCATGAATCATAGAAATCAGTAGAAAATATTGCTTAGCTAAATCATGCATTTTGCCGGCAATTAAAGATAAGCAATTAAACGGACCACTTGGAATGCAAATATCTAGGTACTTACTAATTGCAACTTAAAATAATACGGTGTGCGTATGTCAGTGATTTTATGTCGTTCTCTGACTACATAATGATAATAAAGCTTTGTGGTTCTTTGGTAGTTATTCTGACTTTGCAAAACAAATTGTTTTAAATGTAATTAATTATCATCTAAATTTAAGAAGTGGTGAAAGTATTAGAAGTTTAACCGATAAAGTAAGTGCTATGACGGGAGTAAGTTTTAGTAATATTTCTAAAATACGCAAAGAAGCTGCGGAAAGAGGACTAAGGCCAATAAAAAAAACAAGAAAATGTACCAAAAGTAGAGTGAACAGCAGAAAGTTCACTTACGAAGTAGTAGTTCATACGCGGCTACGTGCCATCGTGCATAGTTTTTTCTTTAAAAATTTACCGCCGACATTGAGCAAAGTTTTGAACTGGTTAAAAAGAAAAATTATTAGTATTTGCGTGAGATAAAAAAATTCGTTCTCATGGATACACCGTCGTTTATTTGGACGAAACTTGGCTGAATGTTGGACATAGTGTTTCCAAAGAATGGAAGGACCTCTCAGTGACTTCAACCAGGGATGCGTTTGTTAAGCGATTATCAACAGGCCTAAAACAGCCGACTCAACGAGGCCCCTAAGTTGTTATGGTGCATGCAGGTAGCGAATTGGGCTTTGTAGAATGTGCTGCTTTTTGGTTTTTAGCTAAAAAAACTCAGCAGACTATCATGATGAGATGGCTCGGCCTTTATTAGAACAATGGTTTAAGGAAAAGTTGCTTCCTAATCTTCCAGAGAAAACTTTTGTGCTGATGGACAATACTTCGTACCAATCAAAGAGAGAAGAAGTGATTCCGACACAAGCCTTCAATAAAAATCAAATTAAGACCTGATTGCTGGACAATTTTTTTTTTGAAGAAGAAGATTATTTAAAATCAGAGCTCATGGAAGTTGTAAACACATACAAAGAAAAATACATAAAATATAAAATCGACGAGATGTGCAAAGAGAAAAATGTTGCCATTCTGAGACTACCTCCATACCATTGTGAGCTAAATCCAATTGAAATGGTAAGGAGTCAAGTCAAAAGACATATTGCCCCACACAAGACAGAGTTTAAGACCGCCGTTATGGAACAATTAATAATAAATGCATTTGGTGTAGTGACAGTGAGACAAGATCAAAAATTTTGGGTTATTGATGGGTTGATGGACGACATTGATCCTGTTTTAATAAATGTGACGGTTGACAGTGCAGTAATGAAAGTGATAGCGATAATAGAGAAGATGAGGATGATGTTAATATGCAGTGAGTAAATTAGGAATGGACACTAAATAGAAAAAGAATGGAATAACCACATAAGCAGAATGGAGAAGACACGTGTAGTCAAAATAGTAACGAGTAAACTAGCAGGATTGCTTATGAAGAGGACGAAGAATAAGAAGATAAAATATATCTTTGATACGCCGAAATTTATTGGGATGTCCTGTATATTTCAAAATAATTTTAAAATGTAGCTTTTATCAACTTAAAAACTAATAATTTAATTTTTTTTTAATTTTTTTACTATTTCGTTGCAATATTTCGTTCTGTTGATAAAATTAAAGCTGCACTTGTTTTTTCTTAGTTACATCTTATATAAAACCTATTTTTATGTACACGTCGCTCCCCTGCGCTGTGCAACAGCAACAATATAGAATCGGATCCAGTCTTTCTGCAAAAAAAAAACGTCCTGAGAACCATTTAAGGCTTAAACATCCAAGCAAAAGAAGTTCTAAAGACGCCCTGATAACGGCGACGGTAAGTTATCACAAGGCTTCCTAAAAGAAGTTCAGTTTCTGCTAATTAAGCTCATTGATTTAGGAGGCAACCAATTTCGTGAGAAGTGCGGTGATACTTGATAAGCAACACCCCTCAATACCACAGGTACTGCATAGTCAAAATAGCTAAGTCTAAGAGCCATTCCCAATAACTTGTATATGTGGTATATAATACAACCCCACGGGACACTTTGATGAATCACATATAAATCAATACTACAATTCCACGAGGAAACTAAGTTCCTGTAGCTGGCTGTATACCATATATCACAAAAAAATTTTGTTTAAAATCCTTTATAAAAGGTACATAAAAATGCCTCAAACGTTCTATCACAAACACATTGCAAAACGTTTTCGGATTAAACAATCCATCATCAGTGCAAACGGTTGTACATGCTAGTAGCCACTAGTTTTGCAATGTGTTTGTGATAGCCCGTTTGAGGCATTTTTATATACCTTTTATAAAGGATTTTAAACAAAATTTTTTTGCAATACTACAATATTCAATAACAACTGAAGAAACTATGCCGCCAATTCTTATAGGTACTCAAAGCATGTGGGTTTAAATTAAGAGTTGTGCCTTAGATTTCTCACAGAGTGTCAAATTACCGAACATGGGGAAAAAGTTTTCCGAAAATAAAAAATTTTCGCAGCTCCTGGTACCATTATTTTTGTAAGGAATTAGGTCGAAGGTCATTATTTTTTGGTGTGGCCAAAAAGTACACCCACCCCTTGAGTGGTAAATTTATTTTACCTGTTACTAACCTGTACCGGTAAGAATTGACGGCATAGTTTCTAAAGTTGTTATTACATAGTAGTATTGTTTTATAATGTGATTCATGCTAGGTCAAATGGCCCATTAAAATCTCTCATGAACCTATGAACTATCAGGAACACTACTAAATATATACTAACACAGCTAGTCAACGCAATCGCATATATTATTAGTTATAATAAAAAATCGCCGCTTATGGACCTAACCTCAGAAGAAGCAAAGTGTTTCAATAGCTTGTCCATTATTTTATATTTAAACATAAGTACATCATTTAAAATTAAAACTGGCCTATTATTAGAAAATATTGTCTAGATTTTGAATCAAGGTTCTCCGGAACATTTAATGTAATGTGAAACAAAATTACTTAATTGTAATTACAATGGTTCTGTATAAAACGTTTTTCATTACCTATTCATATTTCAGTTAATTCAATATGTTCACCAAAGTGCTTAATTTGTTTTTTATTGTGCTCGCGATTGTTAAATGCTCAGAAGCTTGTGTAAGTTCTGAATTCATTTATTTACATTATGCACAAATGCCTAATAAGGGTTAGGAATTTTTAAAGGACGTTATATGACTACATTACAGTTGGAAAAACTTAAGCTTTGAGCCAATAATATTAATTCTAATATAATCAATCTTTTCTTGTTTAACCAATTCTTTTGTAAATAAGAACCTTATTTGTTCAATAACGAAACTTGTTTCTTGTGAGATTTCACGTTTTAATTTTGTTATGTTTTTTCTAAATTCAAGAGATTGTCTTTTTTATTTTTTTTTTGATATAGTTTGTTTAATATTTCAGAAAATTGTATTTTGAAAACGATTTACGAACTGCAAGCCGAAACGTCACGTAACGGATTTCCAATTACATTTATGGCTAATCCTAAATATGAAAATACAAGTTGTTTTACTCCCATTTGGTATCCTTTTTTAGTTCTTACTTTTTTATTATTTCATCCCTAATGAGGTTGAACAATAAAGAACTCAGGGAATCTCCCTGCCTTATCCTTTGGTCAGCTTCAATAGGGTCAGTTAGTTCTTCTACTTTTACTTTTATTGTGTTCTTTTGATAGATATTTTCTATCGTGTTGATTATTCCTAGATGTATCTTTTTTGCGTACAATAAGTAAATACCGTCCTTTAATTTAACCTGATCAAATGCCTTCTTAAGATTCACAAAGCATAGATATGCCGGTTTGTTATATTCTGATGATTTCTCTTGCATTTGCCTCATTATAAATATAGCGTCGGTGCATAATTTTCCCGACTTAAAACCTTGTGTTCTTCTGCTATTTAATTGTTATAATTTCATTCAATTTATTTATTATTACTTTGGTTGTTAATTTTAGTGTTTTGTTTAATAAATGAATTCCTCTGTAATTTCCCGGGTCCGATTTGTCTCCCTTCTTGAAGAGAGGTATTAGGATGCTTGATCTTCATTCTTGAGGAATTCTGTTTTGTTCTAATATTTTTTGGATTAGTTTTAACAGTTGTTTGGTCAGAACTGGTCCTCCGTACTTTAGGAGTTCGTTCGGTATTCTATGCACTAGTGGTGATTTTCTATTTTTTAATATTTTTTAATTTCCTTAATGCTTCCTTTGCCCCTTCCTCCTCAATATTTATTTCTTCATTTGTCGTCACCTCTGGCGTTGGTGATTCATTATCGTCAGCTTTAGCAAATATGTCTGCTTATGTTTCCTTCTGAATATGTTTCGTTTTTATTAGTTCGTTCATCTCTTTTCTTTCTCCTCTGACCATTCTCCATATTTTTTTTATATTCCATAGAAGTTATGTTCCCTTTTTATTTGTCTAACTAAAGTATTCGTTTCATTTTTGATTCGTGTATAGTGGTTGTATGCCTGTTGTGTTTGTTGTGTTCTGTATTGTAAAAATGCTTTCTTTTTTACTTTACATTTTGTCTCTACTTCCTCTCTAAGGCATGAAGTTTTTTTTATATGTTAGTGTTCGCTACTTTTCTTTCTGTTGCTGCGTGATTCTGTTGCTGCGTTAATTATGTCATTTTTGAGTTTTTCTTAGCTTTCCGCGATATTATCGTTTTCTAATATTTCATTCTTACCAAACTTTTCTGATATTCTTTTATTGTATAAGTACTCCGTGAATTCCGTATTTAGTCCTTCGATTCTGGTTTTTGTTTGTATTGGCGCCACTCTCTTGGGTGTGAAGTATTTCATGATTCTTATTTAACTTAATACTAGGCTATGGTCGCAACATACATTTGCTAAGTTGAGGCATATTACATCAATTATTTTTGATGGATGTATACCTTTGTTGGTTACGACATAGATCTTTGTTCACGGGTGTTATTGAATGTAAAATTCCTGGGGTAATTGAAGGTGGATTAAGTAACTCTGCGGTTATCATAGTATGTCACAAGCTCGGATAAAATGTGGAGGCTGATTGGCAAGGTTAGCAACCTATTGTCACCATAGGAAGGTTAGGGTCTTCACAGGAAATAACTCCATATTATCTCCCTAGGTGCTCTACAGAGGGCTTCGGTTATTCAATTTAAAGTTGCTTTTGCGTTTTCATCTTAATTAGGCATGGTGGTAAAATAAAACTTGGTTTTGAAGTCAAAAAAGGTCCTAGCAAAAGAGTCTTAGGAGAAGCATTAAGCAGAGCTACGTAAAGGAGGCGCCCAGTCGTAGGACACCCTACGTGGGGACCGTAGTAAAGCTAGGCTTGACTAACTATGGCTAGTAGCATTGTTAGTATAGTCTCTCTTTGGGTGTATTCTTGGATCTGGTGTTTGATGTCCTGTCTTAGGCATTCTGCCTCTTTAGAACGTGGTTTGTTTTTGTTGTTTGATTGGCTGGTTCTTTTTCATTAGAAAACGGTCATTTTCAGAATTTATTGATCTAAAAAATAATTAGTAGAGACAAATGAGAGAAGTTGCCTCCTGAATGTCAATGTATTCACCAGGGAGTTCATTGCTGGCAAGGTCTAGTAAAATAGAGGGTAGGAAAGAGAGTTTGGATTTGGGATGTCTTTTGAATACATTGCCGAGTGATGAGCAGGTAGTTATAAGAATGCGTTGGGCTCTGAGGTTTTGACCCCGGATGGTGCGTATTGTATAACTCCTGCTCAGAGAGAAATGTCTCTCATTGATGGGCTGAATATTCGACAGGTGATGTATAAGGGTGGAAGGGTAATCGCATCGCTTATTGTTTACTCTACACAGGATTTTCCTCTTCAAAGCAAGCAGTCTTTGTATGTTGTGGTCGCGCATCGTAATATTAATGTTAGATCTATACTCGATGATCGGCCTGATAAATGTTTTGAATGTATGAATTAGTGTGAGTGGATGTGTTCTTCCGAATTTACCACAAAGAGCATTGACTAGTCTGAGTCTGCTCCTGTCCTTATTACAGGTTCTGTCCAGATGGGCCGTCAAGTTAACTGTTTGAGAAAACACTACACCAAGGTATTCGATCCGGTTACGGAGCTGTAGTCGGTCTCCCCAAAGTCTAAGATTATGCCTTGCGGAAATTATGGGTGTGATAGAGTGGCTATAACTATGGCTTGGAAAATGCACCTTTTTTATACACTTTATTTCGTATCTATATGTGCATTTAAAAGTCTATCGGCCAATCATAAATTTTGTATGAGGTTGAAAGGCGGGGTGAACCGCATCGGAGTGCGTACCAGTTCTCAGACTATGGCACTCGATGACACTTCTAATCGTCAAAACTAATACTGCTCGAAGAAACAACAAAAATGTTAACAGGTGTTTTCCCCCTTCATAGATCACCATCATTGAAATATTCAGCATAATAATTTAACCTGCTGTTGCTGTATATATAAAAAAGGATAAAAACTTACAGTGACTTGTGAGCTTGTTTAGATATACAGCCTGCAACTAAAAATGACTCATTCTGCAAATTAATCTTTACTTTTAATATACCTCGTACTATTTTATTGACTGAATACTATCATTAACACTACTGCCCAAAGATACAATTGATCCCTAAAGATCAAGGTGTCTTCAAATAAGCACTTCGGCTAAAGAGCCGGTATCCCCTGCCGAACTGACCGCTAGGTGGTCCCCTTACTGTTCAAGATCTTAAGCCGGAATGAATTCAAAAATTTGTTTCAATGATCTAATTCACACATTAACGCAATCTCAGAAGTACAAATTCACCAGCAAATGAAGAGTGTTCATGTTCATATTGCATTCTTTGATCGGCATGCTATTTATTTTCTCACGCCAGTCTTAAATAATTGAAAACTCAGATATTATTTTGGGTAAATAAATAATTTATGTTTATTCTGTTCCAAGAGAACTAAAGTGTTAAAATGTTTTCTTCGGAGATTTTTAAAACGAAAATTAAAACCTTATACAGAATGCGGTTAGAAATACGTGGATTAAACTTTATATGTTTTTGAATTACAACTTTAGAGAAATTCTCATGTTTAATATGTATTTTAATTTACCATATGCTATCCTGCTCAACTGCATTTTTCTTCTGTTCGCGTAATTTCGTGTTCGTGGTTTTGTTTTTTTTTGTTTTGACTGATTGTCTCCACTTCCTAATCGTTTACTTTTATTGTTATGTGTTCGTTTTGATGTTTTTTTCCCACTCTTTTTTCTTTTTACTGGAATTCTTCTAGCATTCTTTTAATTTATGTTAATAATTTTTCATTTTTAAGTGTGGGAATGAAGAGTTTAGCTTGTCATATTCCCTTTTGTATCGTAACTTCTCCTGTTAGTTCATGTAGCTGTGCTCATTTTTTAGTGGTAGTTTCCTTCAATCATCTCAGTGAACATATCATGTTCATAATCTCGTCAATATCTTTGATGATTATACATTCTTGTTAATAAAATTCTTCTAATCTTTTTTGAGAATGATCTCCAGAGTAGAAATCGAAACGTCAATTTTTTTTTACTTTTAAAAATAGTTTTTTTTTATTTTGAAAACTTGTACTTTGAAATGCCTTCCGAGATGGAGGAAAGAATGCCAATTAAAATAGTTTTAATTGAACGATTGTGGTTAATTTCATTTCTATAATAATTACAAAAGTAAAATGCTACATTATCCCTAAAATGTGAATATTTTTAATATTTACTGTAGTGTACGGTGATAATTTTGGGAATTCCTCATAGTTTGGCTCATATCTGCTTTTTTTTATAGATATGTGATATGTATTTAAACTTCCTCTGAAAACCACGTTGGTGTTACGAATAGAATATATTGTGTTGAAATAAATAACCTGAGAGTATTATCTTCCCAGATAAGTCAAAATTGTAACTTCCGGTTGATAAAATTACTGTTTAAAAATTAAAATTGTACGTAATTGTAAGAAATCTAAATATAATTTTTCAAGAAAATTCTCAAATTATTGTTAGTGATTATTATAGGGTGACATTTTTTGTTAGCTTAATTGTAATTCTTTGAATCCTTTACCATTGGCAAGCAGTACCATATTTAATATTTTTAAATCATTTTTTACTTAATCTTTACTTTACATCTTTCTATTTTG